GCAACTCCTCTTGCTTTGCCACAGCAACCTTCTGAAGCTTGGAGGACCACTTAGCTGCATGTCATTTGCAAATATGCAGCATCACCTACCAATCTCCTGGAATATATGCAGTGATCCTTGATGCGCGACCAGCATACTCAGCCATTGAGTTCTGATACTTAAATAGCTAAAATGGCAACACCCACAAGATAGAACAGCAGGAAGAGGAGATACAGATTATACACCATACTGTCCATTGTCTCTTGCTTCTGGATCCAGTAATCCTTCCTGAATACTTTTCCATTCAGCATTCCATCAGTCCATGCCCACCCTGAAAGGGAATGTTCTTCAGTGTCACCCCCCGCTTCTCTCCAAACAAAAATACACAAATGCTTTTCATCCGCAAAAGGCCGGCTGTGTCAAAGAACAATTTGTGACCAAATATTTGATCCATGGATCAGGAAAAGTAGACAATCTGCAAGCAAACACCAGCTTGGTCATACTAATTGGAAGAACAGAGTGCACCTCTTCTCCCAAATGACTTCAGTTTGCTCAATTTAAGGCCTAAAAGGCATATTGAAAACAGTTCATTAACCTGCAGTAGACAAATGAACCAAATTGTGGTGTCAGTGTCAGCCAAATTGAGGACATCTCTTATCTGTTGCAAAGGAAGTTTAAAATACCTTAAACTATAAAGTTTATAGGGAGATTTTTTACCTATCAAATGTAATACTATTATAGGACTTGCATGGAAAGCAGAAATGCCAATGATGTGCCAAAAAGTTAAAAATAGTTCCAACAGTACTTTTGTCAGTTGCCACGGACAGCATTTTAGTAGCTTTTTTGCAGATGCTGTTACATGTTGTAGCCCTCCCTGACAGCTTCAACTATTGACAAATCTGAAAATGAAAGAAGTATCAAGAACATTATAAAGTTACCCTGGAAATTCTTTGAAGAACAAGTAAAACCCCTTGCAGTAAATAAAACTAAAGCTAGTCAAGGGAATTATGGTAATTCAGATTAATTGCAAATATGTTTTAACTTTCTAGTGTTAAGTCCTAGTTTAGCCACACAACTTGAAGTTGTAATGACCAGTTAATTAATGATACTGATTCAGCCAACAGACCTCACACTAAGACTTACCTAAGTCATTGATTTTCAAAATAAATTATGGAGGCCATCACTAACAGAAATAAAATTTTAATACTTTCCTAAGATCAAGTAACTGTTAAATGTGAACAAAAAACAGAAGTAGTACATGTGCTCAGAACCAATTTTTGCCCATATAGCTCGTACTACCACATTTCTTTGAGCAAGTTTTCCATACCCTAAAGAGGCAGGCAACTTTGGCCTTGCGTGAGTTCCTATGATCCCTCACCCTTGACAATGTTAAAACTGATGGGAATTGTAGACTAAAATATCTGGAGGACAAGTTGTCCACCAATTCAAAATGGATTGACTGTCACTCATGCACTCTCTAACTGCATGAACAATGACTGTCCTTTCAGCTATATAACAAAATTCTGGGATCTTAATTTTAGTTATGACTGTTAGGAGCATGCTGGTCATTTTAAACCATGTTCAACACTATTCACAGTCTCCAATTTGGAGAAGAGACACGGTTGTACATGATTCTGTAGATTTTTAAACCTTGATCCATCAGTACTTTGACCAGTTTATAATAAATAAAGCAATAAACAGCTCGGTCATCTTTTTACATCATCCCTTTCCAAGATTATTTTTGTGAGATTAATGGTTCAATAATTCACTTTTGCATGTCTAGTACTGATGGAAATGTTTGATGCAATTGTACTAAATTTCAGTTACTAAGTTGGCTCAGCTAATAACTATACAGAAGTGGAGCCCATTAAAAAATGTTGAACCTCTGTCTTCCTCACCTTCCAACATGAGTGGGCAGTGCATGCCAACCTGCCACCCATGCCTTCCTCCCAATACTCCATTGCACTCTTCCTGCCCCAGTAAATCAACTTTCTGTGGCTACTGTATGGTTGGGTTTGTCTCTTCAGGGTTTTGCTGCTGCTGCTGCATTTTTTCACAGTCTTCAGGTGCCCCCCAATCATGCTGAAACATCCCTTTTTTTTTTTCCAGTGGCCATGCTCTGCCTCCACTGCCAGCACTCATCACCAGTTTGTTGCTAAGAGCACTATCATTCTATCAGGGGCCAATGTGCAAACCTCTAAGCATGCCTTGTGCCACTTAAAGTAATGACACCTTTTTAGAAATAGTATGAATTCCCCTCCACCTCTGAGGACAACTGAACTGAACATTTACCAAATGATGGTAGTATCAACAACAGTAGTCTGAGAACTCTTTCTGACCTACTTAAAAGTATTTGTTTATGCTTTGGTTCTAGGTTAATACATGTAGAAAGGACATACACACCATTCAAAAAAGAGTGATCAAGGTAGTTTCTAGCCTAAACCCAGACTAGAAGCTGTTAGAAAAGATCTTTAATGTAACCTGTAGCTGACAAGACACTATTCACTCCAAAACCTTAAAGAATGGTAAATCTGACTCCAGGCAATGAACTGCTAAATCAAATTCTAAAACAAAGATATTTAAATCCATGTTCAACCTTGCTTAAACCTTGTAAGTAGCTGTGGCTTTGTGCAGCCTTGACAACAGGAATAATAACTTGAAGCACTAACCACCTCTAAGGTTCATGTTGTAATCCTGGTCCTGGCAGATTTTCTTAGAATATCAGCTTTAATCTAAGAATATTAGGCTCCAAAGCACAGGCAGTAAGTTTCAACCCTCCAACTAGCTTGTCAACAACTTGAGGCTGCATAATCTGAAAATAATCCCTACTAGAAACAGATGGTGCTGTGGCTCTATCAAATGGTTAGTCGTTAAACCAAAACGAAGCAGTAATTTTTAATCTGAGAAATACATTGCAAATTGGGTACAACAGATATATGAGAGTTCCAGATACTGACCTGCTGAGCAAGTCCCTTACTGAGCCAGAGTTCAGTCAGCATTTTGCTGCCACAATACTGGCCAACTAAACTTACTGTGTTGCCTTCACCGCTACAGAGTACACCCTAAAACAGGCTCTAATCTTTGTTCAGTTATAGTCATCTTAAGTTTCCTACCATCTTGTCCACATGTCATCCCTGCTGTTTGTGCAGAGTTCAGCCTACCAGGGACTAGAATTGATGCTATCAATTGGCTGAGGACATTCAGAAAAATACTGACAGTCCTCCCAATTTCAGATATCATAACCAGGGCCAAGCCTAACTCTCCGGGGCAAACCACAGAAATTCAACTGCAACTGCAGTGGAAATTAGAAGCAGCATACAGTCAGAAATGCATTGGCTCTGCTCATTTCTCTGTCCACCTCTTGCCTGTCTTTGACCAGGTTAACAGTTCACAAAGTTGCTCCTAAACTCTGGGTCTGAAAGGGATAGTGAAGGTTGAAAGTCACGAACTATAGCAGAAGAAGAGATTGTGCTCAAGTGAGTTTCCTGCCAATGCTTAAACCACCATAGATTTCTACCAGCCCATTTTATTTCAGAGGGGACTCTGCCTTTTCAGACCAGCTATTTGTATATAACAGCAGTGCTAGCAAGTGCAACTCACCTCTCCGGGGTCAGGCTGCAACCCAGCAGTGCAGGAACAGACCACCTTTTCTGTTGCTGTTGCTCCTGTGGAACCTTTAAGAGGCCACACAAATGAGCTGGCCTGCACACACACACATGCACCTATGTCACACAATTGCTGCTTGCTGTAACAGGGTGAATGAGAGAGCCATCCCTGGGTGCTCTGTTTCCCAGTGGAACTGGCTGGAAGCACCAATAATGGAATCAGGGCAATTAGAGGAACAGGCTGCTTCCATACAGGCCAAGGCTTCCCACCCCTGCGATAAAGGATCTTGACCCATCAGCTTGAAGACCCATGCTCTGCTTGCAATCACATCTCATGAATGGACAGCCTATGGTCATCAAGGTTTGCGAGCATTAAAATAGACTGAATTATGGCTAGTTTCAGAACTTAAGAAACACAACTGTATAATTATCTGCCATAAAGCAGTAACAAGTTGAACAGACAGGGCATCAAAATCAAAAAATTCAAATAAAATTTATTGGTTTCAGTTTTTGATTGTAGTTCTCAAGTTATTAAAGAAAGGCTAATCAGAAGTGACTGCTGGAGAATGGGACCTTAACAAATAGGTATAAATTTGTTTATGAACAGTTCCATTTAAGAAAAATTTGCATAGGTCCTACAGCTGTGTATAAAGATACATAAAAATTTACATTACAATTCAAAGTGTACAGTATCTACACTGAAAGGGAATAGTCAGTTGCAGGTGCAAAACAAACAGAAAATGGCCTACAAATAAGGCAAGTTACTTCATACCGTCAAATCATGTGTTAAATTGTGTAATACATAACAGCAGTATTTAAATTGGAAAGGAATGGTCTCTTGCGTTCCTCTTTGGAATCTCTTACTAATATTACCCAAATAAGAACCTGTGCCTACTGGTTCTTGTAAAAATTACCCTGGCAAATAGAAATAGTGGCGGTAGGTGTTGCATTGATATTAGAAAAGCAAGGAATATGCCAAAACATGAATGATCTAGTTTTATCCTGCAGCGTAAAGTGATTATATAGAGAAGAATTCAATATACCAGAATTGTAAACTCTTCATCAAAATGCAGCTACATCCTATAACCACTACCAAATCAAAGCCACATGCAACCCACAACTTCAGACAGATTTCAATTGATACAACTGGCGTTATCTGTCAATATATCTAGGTATTTGGTGATGAGCAAAACAGTAGAGTCATGGTATTTTTTCCTTTCAGATGGCAACATCAGTATTTGTTAATTTGATATGGTTCACCAGCTCCTTACCAGACTAACCTTTTAAAAATTCAGTTTATGCAAGCAGTGTACATTAGATTCTGCTGTCACGAGAGTCCATTCTTACATAAGATCTGACAACAGAAACTTACTTTAAAAGCTTTCCTTTTAAAAACAAGATTTCTATACATTACACTGAGGATGTACAGTTTTATTTCCTTTAAAATTGGCTTTAAACACACTAAGAAAAATCATCTTTTATAAATACAATATTGGCTTTTATACGCTGAGACAGTATACAAGAAGTAGGGTAAAGTGTGGGGCTTTATCACTAGGTATTCAGGTGAGTGTTGATGCTCTTTAAATAAAAAGTGTTAACTTTGTAATACATTCCTTTATATAGACACGTGTATAGTTTTGGATTGCCACCTTAGATTGCTGCTAAAAATATTAAAATGTAACAAGTATATCTTCCCTGGTTATATACAAGATGCAAATAGTGAATTCAAGCAGACAAGGCACAAAAATGATACAATGTAAAGATCGGGATTCAAAACTAATACAAAGAATGCTTAAGGAGCCTGGCAGTTGTGATTTGAGGAACTGTGCAGAAAACATTCTATGCCAATACATTACATTTAAATCCAACTAGTTTGCTACTGAGAGTTATGAGCAGGCATAAAGCTACACTGGAAACACAGCGGTGATTTAAGATGCAACGCAACGGGGCTGGCCAGTGCTCCGACCGCAGAGGCTTATAGGCATCCTATGCAGAGCAAAAGAGGAGCAAGGTCATGCCTGCCTTCCTCCAGCGCTGCAAAGCAGCCAGGCACTGGAAAGGAAAGGTGGCTCAGGACCCCCCAAGGGTGTGCTGTGCCTTGGTGGTGCTGGCCTCCCCTCCCCTCCCTGCCCTCACAACGACCCCCAAGCCCCTTCCCCAAGGCTGCTGTGACATCTTGGAGAAGCAGCCAGCAAGATGGCCCCTAGAAACTGTCCAGGGCAGAGTCACACTGACTTGACTTTGTGAAATGTCAGTCTCCTAACCTTTTCCTAGAGCAAAATGGATTCTGCAGCCTGCTTGCAAGAGAGTTCTGCATACATCCTGGTGCCATTTATCTATACGTCATCACGCATTAAATCTACAAAGAGAGCCACAGACCTCATGTTAAACATTAAGACTTAATGTTTACTGCTGACTTCCTGAGCTATCTGGAACTTAGGGGGGCACAGGGGTCTTCCTCCTGTGTACTGCTAGGCTTTGTCAGGTTCCTCTCCACTTAGTTATATGCCGAAGTTGTGCTTGCACGTGGCTGCCACATACACAATTCCCCTGGCCTTTCCAACAGCTGGGGTTATTCTAAAAACTGATACTGGGGGACAAGGACCTGGATTTACACATCCATATTCTCCTCCCAGCAGTTGATATTTGCAGAAACTTTTTAGGGTCCATACATTTGCTAGAAAAATTATTCCACAGTAAATCTGACTCTACCGACAATGTCGTTCAACATTTTTAGTGTCTCTTCTGTAGTTTATATGCCCCTTACCTGCAATAAGAACATTTGTCTCAGCAGCTGAATTTATTTTCTATGGCAGAACAAGTAATGTCTTAAGAGGTTAAACGTAAGCTCTCTATATATGGGGGTCACTATCAAAGCAATTAGGGTAGCCAAAGGGATAGTACATATAAGAAAGGCAGGATTATGTGAAGTCTGATTGAAAGAATGATTAGTGATCTATTAAACATTGTACTGCAGAAATCTGTAATGCACACACTGGCAAATGACTCACGAAGAGAACTCAAATTCCCAAAGAAGAAAAGAATGACAAATGAGCAGACAAATCATACAATTTGAAAGATGGAGGTTATATATGGAAGAACCCTTAGATATTCCTGTCATCCTACAAGCAACCAAAAAATGAGTGTCAGAGAGTGAATCCAAGACGGAAACATGCTTTTTACATGGATACACAAAATATCATTCCTAAGTCATGGGCTTGATCAAGCAATGACTGTCAGTGTCAAGTGGTTTTAAGTGCAATTTTTTTTGGCAATGTGAAAAATAGAAAACTTCAATTAATAATACTAAAAAAGTGTTGATTATTAATATGAAGCCTGATCCTGCAAGCAATGTGGTACACATCGATTCGAGTGCAAAAGGTCAAATTCTTAATTGTCTGTGTGTATATATAATAGGCTTCTATATAATCAATACACAGCAAAAGTTGTGCATGTGTAATGTATATGCACAAAAATGGCTCTTTAATAAACTTGAGCTTTTAGCTGTTCTGAGCTGCATTATTCACAGTACGCAGCTTTGATTTATAGCAAGACTTAATCACACCTGAAATTAAATAGTGCATCTTTTTAATGCCTCTAGAAAATGGGCTCATGAGTCCAGGTGCGCTCATCAATGAGTCTTCCAGAGGGGATCAAAGTATATCCATCCATCACCCTGGAAAAAAAGCAACACAGAAATGCCAAGTAAGTCTCACTTTATCAAGCTACTAAAAAACACAAATTAAGTATTCATTAAAGTCTTGCAAGCTGCGTGCCAAGGCCAGTATGCCAAGGAAGCAATTAACATGGCAGCAAGAGAACCGTGCAAGGCACCAACCAATCTAAAAGCAGTTTTGGTTAATTCAAATTTAGACAGAGTACACCCAGTGAAATCAGTCTCTCTCTCTAGGTATGCCTACATACGGATCCACTCCCTTGCTCTTTGGAATCAGGATCTGCCACAGAGAAAGCTTAAAGTAAAGCTTGAAGTGCACACCTAGTGCCCTTTGCCATTATTTCCTTATACATGCAACAGTTTGTTCTGTAGGCAGAACAAAAATTTCCACCTAGAAGACCTCTGCAAAGAAATGGCTCCACTACAGAACATTGCATTCAGTCCTGATTTAGACACAGGCCTGGTTCACATGATGTGCCAGGATGTTTGGTCTATTTCCCTTATGATGATCAACTCAGAACATCCTGCTAGGTTTATTCAAAGCAGAATCAGTTTGTGGGTTACTTAACCCTCTATGTGCCACTGTCACATGCAGAACTGACCTTACACAGAGCCAAAGTAGGTGTCACTTTAGATCAGTATCTAAGAGTAACTCCCGCCTCCCATTTTTTACTCTAAAGCAGGTGAAGAGCTCCCAATCCAGATTGTAAAAAATCCTCCTAGCTGCACACAAGGATCCCAATTTGAATCTGATGCCCTAGCGGGAATCTGGTTTTCTGTAACCTGAGCACATTATTCCACATCCTGCACTCTGGGATGATCGAGAAGAGATCCTGGCCCTTCCCTGTGTGACAGCCTTTCAAGTACTTGAGCAGTGCTATCCTATCTCCCCTCAGTCTTTTCTTCTCAAGGTTAAACATGCACAGTTCTTTTAATCGTTCCTCACGGGCCTTGTTTCCAGTCCTTGGATCATCCTTGTTGTCCTCCTCTGAACCCTTTCCGGATGGTCTGTGTCTTTCTTTAACTGTGGTGGCCAGAACTGGACACAGTACTCCAGATGAGGCCTAACCAGTGCAGAATAACTGGGAACTGGTACTTGCTGTGATTTGGCAGTGAGACATCTACTAATGCAGCCCACAACAGCATTTGCCATTTTTGTAGCCACATCACATTGTTGATTCTATATTCAGCTTGTGATCTACAACAATTTCAAGATCCATCTCACTCACAGTATTGTTCAGTCAAGAATCCCCACTCTTCTAACAATGCATTTGGATTCCTTTTCCTAGGTGCATAACTTGGCATTTCTCCCTACTGAATTTCATTCTGATGTTTACAGTACAGCACTCTGCCCTATCAAGATCACCTTGAATTTTATTTCTGTTTTCCAGGTTTTGAGCTATCCCACCCAGTTTCGTGCCAATGAAAACCAAACACTGATTTTTGTTGCCTCCCACCTCATATAGAAACATAGAAACAGAGCGAGTCAGAAGGGGCCTCCCAGGCCATCTAGTCTGACCCCCGACTCCAGCCGGCTCTGTTCACGACATGCCCATCATGTGCATTGATTTCCATTACCTCCTTAACGAAATACTTTGGTTTCCAGGGTGTATTGCTAGCTGCTCGCTGCCTCTCCTCTGCTCGCTGCCTCTCCTCAAGGAGCTGCTTGTGGTCTGTTGCTATGCCAATGTTGCCTTCTTTCAGGGCACTGGTGACATGTTGCCAAAGGTTTCTGTTCATCAGATTTAGAGGACGAAGTGAATTATTTGTTTATAACATTTATATGCTGCTCCACATCTAGACACATTCTGGAGCAGAGAACAATTAAAGAATAAAACACCACATTAATGGTTTTATGAGCAGAATATCAATTACATAGCAGCTGGTCAATACAGAAGTCAAGGGAGGCTTCCTGAAATGAAAATGTCTTCAGCAGAGACCACAGCGGTACAATGCTGGTGCCTGCCTGACCTCCAGAGGCAGGGAGTTCCACAGAATAGGTGCCATCCCACTAAAGGCTCTGCTCCAAATGGACTCCTGCCCGACAATAAGGTCATGTGGAACCACCAGAAGCATCCCATGATGACCTCAGTGACTGGATGGTTGATGGTTCAAAACAAGAATGACTGCTTGTTTAAAAACCTAAGAAAAACCATACCAAGGGCCCATCAGATCTAACCATTTTATGGCTGCTGCTTCTCATGATGGTCTCACAAAACCAGTCTCACCTTGACTCAAATGGACCTTGTTTAGCTATTGGTCTGATCTTCTTGCGGATTATGGGCAGTTTGGTGGTATCAATTATTTTGGTTTCTCCATTGCTGTATGTAAATTCCAGTGTGCCATTCCATTCCCCCTGCGCCTTGCACACTATGGTATTGGTTGGATTATGCTTCACCTCTGCCGTAACCCTGATTCAAATAAGAAAAATGGAGATTAATATGCAGATTATTACAACAATATCCAAGCGCCCTAAAGATTTCTACCACACTGGTAATTATGAAGGAAAGCTAGCTTTGGAGTATTGTTTTACTGCAAGAATATTTTTGCTGCTTCTTTTTAAATGGCATACCTTTTGAGTGCATTCATGACACTACATCCAATATATTTTCACCAATGTGATGCGATTTACATGTAGAGTCTCAACATTTTATTACCAGAAAAAGCAGAAACAAGTACCATGTCAATACAGCAAGTTCAGATTAGTTTTTGGTTTTTTTTAAATGAAGGGCACAATCAACAAGAATAGCCTCCTACATATGTTCTACTGGAACTACTCGGCTCCTGCATTTCATTTCAACAAAATGACTGCCCTGTTATTTGAACCCAAAGTTATGTATGTCGCACAGCAATGCCCAAGTATGGCCCAGCGGATAACATGGTACCAAGTATTTTATGTTCCTTTCCAGTTTTATGTTGAGTGCTATGGCCAAACTTTGTGCCTCCACTTCAGGGACCTCTCGAGCCCATCACAGGGTGCTCTGGGTGCATACAAGATGAGGACTGCACAGCCAATTAATGTGTGGTATAGTATGAAATCACTGGCAGTGATTACATTTGGCCTGTCAATGTTGCCTTGACAACTGATTGCCACAGTCTAAAGACTTTCCAGGCCAAGGCATTCTGCATGTGCTGGACCACAATGCGAAGGATGCCATAACCACCTCGTTAGATGAGAGAGGGTAAAAGACCAATTTTAATACCTGTGTACTTTTCCTCCATAGAAAGGCTTCGTGTGGAATGTGACAGTAGCAGAGTAGCCAGTTTTGGCACACTGAATATTGACTTTACCTCCAAGCTCCACCCAAGGAATGGTAAGTATAGAGCGTGCATAGGCACACGGTAACGTGAATACATATTCTTCCTCATGTTCCATTAGATAAAGAATGCCTGTGGATGAGGGTGAAAATGGAAAAAAAAACATTTTTAGCATTGAGAATTAGCCCATAAAGCTTTCTGGAATGATGGCCACTTTTTATATTATGCTGAAAGGAAACATCTGTTGAAATATTAATCTTGAAAGTAAGTTGTGTTTCTTTTCGATTCCTTCAGTGCGAAGGGATGCAAAGACTTGAAGTAACAGTGTTGAGGGCTGATTGATCTTTCCCAAGAAAATGATGCATTTTTGCAACTGTTCCTTTGTGGAATCCTTAGAACCTGGGACTAAACACCATGTAATTAATCAAGAGAGATATGACTGTCAAATCAATTCAAGGGATCCAAATAGTTTCTCAGGCCCCAAACTCTGGCCTATAGTAATCTTGCACACTTCAAGGAAAATAATTCTATTATATTCTGCATTGATAGATGGATAGAAAGAAACTGCCCAACTTCAAAACGCATCTCCTCAATAGCTGATAAAATTAACTCCCTTTTCCACTTTATGTCTACTTTGAATAAGTATTTGAGGAACGAAGAAAACTGCCTTAGACTGCATCAGAGCGCTGGTCCATCTAACCCAGCATTGTCTGCACTGACTGGCAACAGCTCTCCCTGGTTTTAGGCAAGCATATTTCCAGAAGGCAGAGACTGCAACTGGAACCTTCTGCTTGCACATCACATACTCCTCCATTGAGACATCGCTTCAACCCAAACCACCTAAAATGATGGAAATTCCAACATGAAAATCACTTATTTGCATAGATTAAATAAAAATGCCAGATCTCAACCAGTGTGCACAGGCAGTGCCTAACATAACAGGTTGATACTATCACTGGCATGGCAATGTACCCAACAGGGATACCTCCAGCCAGGATTTAGCAGTCATTCAATACCTTATACACCATCAGTTACAGTAACTTAATAAACCACAAGGACTAAACCAGGTCACAAATGGCCCTGCTAAACACTGCTTTCTTCCACCTTTTCTTCACATAGTCTGAGCAACACCCTTTCCGTAGATTAAAAAAGACAAAGGAGTCAGGATTAACTGTCAGGGTAAGCAACTTCTGAACTTCTGAGTATTTTAGCCTCCATCTTTCATCAGTTCTAGTGATGGAGCATGGGAATGTAGACTTCCAGGTGTTTGGGCCAACAAATTGTCCAGCCCTGCTTTCTTTCTGTAGAGAGGATGCAAAGAACAATACTGGGATGGTCACAAACTTGGGAAGTTTCTTCCAAAAGAGGATCCTCCTACTGTTTTCTGATCATACAGTACCCACTAGACCACAGTTCAGCCCCATGACTAGGAGGAAAACAAACAAACAGCAGCTACATTGATCTGGTGAACAAAAATAACTGCAAAGTAGCACTCACATTATCCTATGATGAAATTCTATCATCATATGAGTGCTCATGATTAGCAACTCAGGACAGCATTCAATCTATACTTATACGTGCAATGCCTAAATACACAAAGCAGCATTTAAGTGGAGAGCTCAAAACAGCTTTACATACATTACAAAACCACATCTCACTAGGTGGAATGACTAATGCTAATGCACTAAGCAGAAAAACAGGAGGACATAGGAAGAACCCTGAAGTGTACAGGACTCCCCCAAAATCATCAGGACCAAGACCAGCACATACAAGCTCTTCTCCCACTAGCAATGAACAAGACTCATTCACTGGGGGCAACATGCCACCAGGATAATGACGACACCCAGATCTATTTCTGTGACAGCCAAATCAGGAGAGGCGGCAGACATTCTGAACTGGTGCTTGGATGCAGCTATGGATTAAATGAGGGCGAAATGCAGATAAAGCAGAGATTCCATGGGTGGGCAGTTTCCAGATGTTGGAAACTTGCCTGTTCTTGATGGGGTTGCACTCCACCTGAAGGAACAGCTATGTAGTTTGAGGGTGCTTCTGGATCCATCTTTATCACTGAAACCCAAGTGTCCTCAAGTAGCCTGAAGTGCTCACTGTCAACTGAATGGCACTTCAATATGCGTGTCCATGAGTAGGGACAGCCTAGCCATGCTGATCCATGCACTACAAACCACAGAACTAGACTAACACAATGCACAATGTGTGGGGCTGCCCTTGTGCCTAATTTAACTGCTGTAGAAAGCAGCCCCTTCATGGATCACTGCCTTGCTGAGGCGAAGCGGCTTGTGTAGCGCAATGAAGCTATGAGCTATGCCGTGCAGGGGCGCCCAAGACGGACAGGTCATAGCAGAGAGCTCCGACAAAACGTGATCCACTGGAAAGGGAAATGGCAACACAGTTCAGTATCTTTGCCATGAAAAACCCATGTGCAGTACCAAAAGGCAAAGAAATATGACGCTGGAAGATAAGCTCCTCAGGTCAGAAGGTGTCCGATGCTCTACTGGGGAAGAGCAGAGGGCTAGTACTAGTAGTGCCAGAATTAAGCAACTGGGTCAAAGTCGAAAGGACACTCAGTTGTAGATGTATCTGGTGGTTAAAGGAAAGTCTGATGCTGTAAAGAACAATACTGCACAGGAACCTGGAAAGAAAGATCTATGAATCAAGCTAAGTTGGACGTGGTCAAACATGAGATGACAAGACTGAACATCGACATCCTGGGAATCAGAGAACTAAAATGGACAGGAATGGGTGAATTTAATTCAGATGACCATCAGGTATACTACTGTGGACAAGAATCCCTCAGAAGAAATGGAGTAGCCTTCATAGTCAATAAAAGAGTAGGAAAAGCAGTACTGGGATACAATCTCCAGAATGATCTCAGTTCGAATCCAAGGAAAACCATTCAACATCACAGTAGTCCAAGTCTATGCTCCAACCACTGGTGCTGAAGAGGCTGAAGTTGACCGGTTCTATGAAGGCCTACAACACCTTCAAGAATCAACACCAAAAATGATGTCCTTATCATCATGGGGGATTGGAATGCTAAAGTGGGAAGCTAAAAGATAACCAGAATAACAGGCAAGTTTGGCCTTGGAGTACAAAATGAAGCAGGGCACAGGCTGGTAAAATTTTGTCAAGAGAATATGATAGTCATAGCAAACACTCTTTTCCAACAACCCAAGAGACGACTCTACACAAGGACATCACCAGACAGTCAGCACAGAAATCAGATTGACTATGTGCTCTGCAGCCAAAGATGGAAAACCTCTATACAGTCAGTAAAAACAAGACCAGGAGCTGACTGTGGCTCAGATCATGAGCTTCTGGTTGCAAAATTTAGGCTTAAATTGAAGAAAGCAGGGAAAAGCACTAGGCCACTCAAGTATGACCTAAGTCATATGCCTGATGAATATACAGTAGACAGATTTAAGAAATTAGATCTGATAGACAGAGTGCCTGAAGAACTATGGATGGAGGTTTGCAACATTGTACAAGAGGTAGCAACTAAAACCATCCCAAAGAAAAAGAAATGCAAGAAAGCAAAATGGCTGTCTGAGGAAGCTTTACAAATAGCTGAGGAAAGAAGGGAAGTGAAAGGCAAGGGAGAAAGAGAAAGATACACCCAATTGAATGCAGAATTCCAGAGAATAGCTAGAAGAAATAAGAAGGCCTTCTTAAACGAACAGTGTAAAGAAATAGAAGAAAACAATAGACTAGGGAAGATGAGAGATCTCTTCAAGAAAACTGGAGATATGAAGGGAACATTTCATGCAAAGATGGGCATGATAAAGGACCAAAATGGCAGAGACCTAACAGAGGCAGAAGAGATTAAGAAGAGGTGGCAAGATTACACAGAAGAACTATACAAGAAAGAGCTTAACGTCCCTGATAACCACAATGGGGTGGTCACTGACCTCAGACATCCTGGAATGTGAAGTCAAATAGGCCTTAGGAAGTCTGAGCAACAACAAAGCTAGTGGAGGAGACAGTACTGCAGCTGAGCTATTCAAAATCTTAAAAGACAATGCAGTTAAATTGCTACACTCAATATGCCAGCAAATTTGGAAAACTCAGCAGTGGCCAGAGGATTGGAAAAGGTCAGTTTATATTCCAATTCCAAAGAAGGGCAATGCCAAAGAATGTTCAAACTACCACACCATAGCACTCATTCACATGCTAGCAAAGTTATGCTCAAAATCCTACAAACTAGGCTCCAGCAGTATGTGGACAGAGAACTACCAGAAGTACAGGCAGGATTTCAAAGAGGGAGAGAAACTAGAGATCAAATTGCCAACATACACTGGATCATGGAGAAAGCTGGGCAGTTCCAAAAAAAATCTACTTCTGCTTCATTGACTATGCTAAAGCCTTTGATTGGGTAGATCACAACAAATTGTGGCAAGTTCTTAAAGACATGGAAGTACCAGACCATCTTATTTGTCTCTTGAGAAACCTGTACGCGGGTCAAGAAGCAACAGCGAGAACTGGACATGGAATCACTGACTGGTTCAAAATTGAGAAAGGAGTTCAGCAAGGCTGCATATTGTCGCCCTGCCTATTTAACTTATATGCAGAGCACATCATGAGAAAGGCGGGGCTAGATGAATCACAAGTTGGAATTAACATTACAGGAGAAATATCAACAACCTCAGATATGCAGATGATACCACACTAATGGCAGAAAGTGAAGAGGAACTAAAGAGCCTCTTGATGCAGGTGGAAAAGGAGAGTGCAAAAGCTGGCTTGAAACTCAACATTAAGAAAACTAAGATTGTGGCATCCGGTCCTATCACTTCCTGGCAAATAGATGGGGAAGAAATGGAGGTTGTGACAGATTTTATTTTCCTGGGCTCCAAGATCACTGCAGACAGGGACTGCAGCCAAGGAATTAAAAGACGCTTGATCCTGGGGAGGAAAGCTATGGCAAATCTAGACAGCATACTAAATAGCAGAGACATCACCCTGCTGACAAAAGTTCATACAGCCAAGGCTATGGTTTTCCCAGTTGCAATGAATGACTGTGAAAGCTGGACCATAAGGAAGGCTGAGCGCCGAAGAATTGAGGCCTTTGAATTGTGGTGCAGGCGAAGACTCCTGCGAGTCCCTTGGACTGCAAGGAGATCAAATCAGTCAGTCTTAGAGGAGATCAACCCTGACTGCTCTTTAGAAGGCCAGTTACTGAAGATGAAACTCAAATACTTTGGCCACCTAATGAGAAGGAAGGACTCACTGGAGAAGAGCCTGATGGTGGGAACAATTGACGGCAAAAGAAGAAGGGGACAGCAGAGGATGAGGTGGCTAGATGGAGTCAATGAAGCAGTCGATGTGAGCTTAGGTGGACTCTGGGGGATGGTGGAGGACAGGAAGGCCTGGAGGAATGTTGTCCATGGGGTCGTGATGGATCGGATGCGACTTCATACTAGCAACAATAGAAAGCTGCAGTTAAGAGTGCTGGCTGGAACACCCAGCTATGTTCATGCAGATTCCGTGTTAAAAGAACTGCATTGGCTGCCCATTAGCTACTGAGTCCCATTCAATGCTATGTTGATGATAGACAGAGTCCTATACAAAGTGGGGCCAGCTTATCTAGCAGGCAGTTTCCCCTATTTACATCCAGTTAAACTTTAAGATCATCAGGCAAGGCCTTGCAGGCCAATCTAGGAACAGCAGAAGGTTGCTCTGCAGTAGTTCAAAGGCAGGGCCTTGTCAGTGGTAGCACCCATGCTCTACAACACCCTCTCCCATGAAGTTCAGGAGACATTCTGAATGTGTTCTGTTTCAAGCACCTCCTGAAAACACAATTGTTCACCCAGGTTTTTTCTGGCTTGTAATTCATTGCAATTGATCATATATCCCTCCTCTGAGAGTTCCTTAAATTGTTTTGCATTAAGATTGTATTTGGAATTGTTTTAGAGAAGCATTTGGGTCTGATGTTCAACATTGCGATGTGAACTGCTTTGGATCATTCGTTATATTAAGCACCATAAAAGCATTAAGAAATAGCCAGGAAATGGAGAGCGCAAGTGTAGCCCTCAAGCACTGGAGCTGCAATTTGTGCTTGCTGCTTGTTTTCCTTCAGTCTTGGTGATGAATGCCCTAAGTTCTGTACTATCATTATGCCAACAGATCCTTCAATATACAAGGAGGTGTGCCCTAATTAGAAATGCTTATGCCAGTGGGGACATCTTTCTCCTTATTGCTGAAAGTACCCAAGGTGGAATGGAACTAGCTTCAGAGAATGACACCTGAGCTCTGTGGCATGAATGCTTTTCAACCAGTTCTTTCTCCCAATAGCAAGGCCTTTGCAGCCGATCTTTTCCATGCAGGACAATTCCAAGTTTGAATGGGAGGAAAGAGCATGAGCAGCAACTGGCCCCAGAGTAAGCTCCATACAGCCAGATCTAGAAACACTGCTGCAGCCCCTGTTTGAGTTGGACCACGCCCTTTTGTGAGCAAAGATCCATCACATTTTTGCTTCACTTTGACAAGCTGTCAAGAACATTAAGCAAAAAACCCCCAAACCTTTCTACAGCTCTCTGGGGTAATGATCATGGTGGGTACTTTCTACACTTCAACAGCAGACAGCCCCCAGGACATTGCCCAGCCAAGGTGTCCCATGTCAAGCCCCCAAAGCTTATCTCCATACTTAAACAAGACCAACTAAAACAGTTTTAAAACAGATTTCAAAAAACATTTGTACACGCTTTTTACATTTTTAAACAAGTGTGACGGCTTATTAGAGGCAGCCCCACCCGCTATGTGCCACTTTGGAAGAGCTGCTAGGGGCTGCCACCTTGGAGGTAGCAAAAAGAGTGTGGCATGCAAAAAAGAGCTCATGATCACCATGGGGAACACCAAGCCAGTGACAGTCACTCCACCATGCCAGCTGGGCATCAGTGGGATGCATATGTCTAGCAGTGGCTTCTATGAGCTCAGCAAGAGGTTTTTACTACTCTTGCCACCTTCCTGGACCTATGCTAGGATCAGTCACCCAGGTGCAAAGTGACATCCTGCTGTACATACAACAATCCCCCAAACAAGCCATTGGTTGTACGCATGGCTTGTTGCTCAAAACAAGCCTGCCTGTGGAAAGCGTTCTAGGTTTGCATGATGGCTCAAACCATCATGGCTAATTACCCATGATGGGTTGTCATGTCATGCAAGCCCAGTCATTCTACAGCTGAATATACTAAGCCCAGTATTCTACATATACCCAAACAAAGGCACAAGTATATAACCTTACAGAAACCAACCAAATCAATGGTCTACACATTTTCTGAATGAAAAAAAAATCCTCTAACTCTTTCTATTATGTTAAATGACCAGATAATTGTTTGATGCAATACTTAAAAATCTATTGTCTCTATCATTGTATTGCACTTTCCCTGCTCATGACTGAATGTATTTACTGCTTCAAGTACATGCCAAATATATTCTTAAAATACAAATTTAAAAGTTCATCATAAAACAGCCAGATATATTTATGCTACTCTCTCAGCCACTGAACATGTAAAGCAAACATATGAATTTAATAAAAACACAAGCCATAAACCACTGCTTAGCAACCCAAGCAATTTCTCTTTTTCTGACCAGCCATGTTTAATTATTTCACTCCATTTCCTTAATGCCTTATGTAAGAAGCATTTGCACTATTTTTTTTTTTAGTGTCCAGAGGCTGCAAAGTAGATCAGGTGCTTTGCTGGTCCTACTTCCCAATACATTTGCGGAGAGGGAGTAATTTTTTTAATACTTCAGACTTTCTAAAATTATGTTTGATAAGCAAGCATGCTATAAAATACATTATGTTTGTGGCATGTCTTACCTTCACCTACCATAGAAACACCTACAGACATCCCCATGAACTTGCTCTTGGTCCATACATGAACATTTGCACACATCTTCTTCTCCTTGCACTCGCAGTAAAAGCAAGATATCGGAGGGTGATGGGATACTTGTTCAGCTACAAACCTCAGCTTATAATATTCAGGAGAAGCCTGTCCCTTAAGACTTGAAGAGGCACTGTGAGTTCTCACTCGGTCTTTAGGCACGTCCCAAGAACAATGAAAAGTTTCTCCAATAATTGGGTTATAGGGCTTCTTGGCTACAGCTCCTTTTCGTCCTTCATGAAAGGCTGTTAAGTAATACTCCACAAAGTAAATTATTCTCTCCTCAGGTGTGGTTCCAGTTGAAACTGACAACAGCAGGTCTGGATGGGCCAAGAAGTTTGCATACATCTCCAGCAGGGACCTCTTCTCCAAAATAAAGGTTGGAAGGACGACCTGTATTGAATGCAGAAAAAGCGCTATTTTTCCATGGCAGCATCAGGAAATGTAAATAGTTACGCCAGCTGCAACACTTACCGAGCCGAAAAGCAACCATTTTTTCCCAGCAATGCCAAAAAGCTCCCCTTCAAGATTTAAAAGTAACAATTATGAATTAAAGTGACACTCACTTTTTAGGACAATTATACAAGCCGCTCTTCATTTCTCCAGAGTCTCAAAGGCCATGCATGCAAGAAGATAATTCTATTCAAAAAGGCCAGGCCGGGGGGGGGGGGGGTCATTGTCTTGTTCTGCTTAGCTACCAATTGAGCCAATTATGCACTGACAGTGCCCATTGTTTCCAGAAGTGGCATATCAGTTTGGGTCAAGTTACTTGAGTTCTATTAGATTCCTGCCAACTCTGGCAATTGGCAAAGAAATTTGGATCCCAGCTGTTGCACCATATTATAATCAAAGACTGACCCATTGTGGTGGCAGGGACGGTTTAAACTGCACAACATCAAATTTCTGCTAAAGTGACATTTGGGATCTGGCAGCTAATGGTTTCTTCTAGCAGCTTACGGAAAGCAAGAGCTGCGGGGAGAACAGGGCTTGACTAGCTGTGTCAGAACAATGCCCAACAATTCGCTGATCTGCCTTCTCAATGGCATGTGAGTGACTCAAGTTGCTGTCTGTAACACTGGTTAGACCAACTGAATGGCAGAGAGCGCAGTTCCTAAGTCCTAGGAAAAATTTATAGCACAATTACTTTATCATCAAACAGTGTCATATAGGAAATAGTTCTTAAGCCGAAACGGCTAAGGGATGAGGAATCCTGACAAGTACATGCCTATTTATTCAAACTGACTGAAGACTTCATGGCAGCCATGGCAGCCAGAACAGAACGGACCTTTTCTTCCTTGCTTAATTCAAGAAAACTGCCAAAGTAATATAACACTTTTAAAGGAAGCTCAGCAACATTCCTCTCCAACACCTGTGCAATGCTCAGCACTAATATCAACTTACAAAATCAAGTCTGCCTGACTCTAGAGGCCACTACTAACATATTGCTAAGAAATCAGCATTTCCAGCAAGGGGAAAAGGTAATCCTTACGGCAGAAACCCATGGCACTTATATAAGGAGCATGTCCTCCAGGGGAAAGATACCATTATGTTTTCTTCAGAAGAACTCTCAAAACAAATCTGCACCACCCAAGTTGCAATCTCCAGTTTAATAAGAGAAAGATCCCAACATAACAAATGCCTGCATTTGGATTTCATAATAAGGAGATCAGATATAACCAGCAAACAATAAAAATGGCACCTTTTCTTAATAGCTAAATGCTGCATATCTCAGTATAGGAACAAGGAGCCTAAACCATATGCTTTTATGATTAAAACAAGAGTGGTTGCTAAACACAAGCAACAAAGCTTTTCATCTTGAAATGGAGGGGGGCTCAAGGTAATATGAAAAGAAAATACATGAAGAATGAGTGAAGAATTTGAGTTTGGCAAATCTTGATGTGAACTGGGTTATTCACACCTTGCACACTATCAGAACATAAGTACCCTTTCAAATTCTATTCTAAATCTCAGTGTAGTCCACTAAGCAAAATACTAGCAAAATGCATTAAAATCCATATTTTACCATAAAGTATATTAGAAATGTGCAGGTAAAATATTTTTTAAAATGTGTGTTCATGCTTTTATGTAGATTTTATTAGAATCACAGACTAATATAGAAACAGGATTGAACAAGCTACATGCAAGATGGCAGTTGGCAGGCAGATGCAGGGCACACCCAATAAGGGAAACTGGTCTTCTTCAAAAAGCTAACTTACCCCCACAGACACACACTTTTAGCTAGCAAGAAAAAAAGAATGAGGAAACTGAAAGTAGGCACTAGCCCCAGCTGGGAATCTACCTCCCCCACCGCACCCAGCATTGAATTTTGTAATTGCATTTTAACACTTTGGATTTTAGTTACTGAGGGATACATTCTGGCTGAAAAAGCAGTTTGAAATTAAAGTCAAGCTGGCTACTTGCTAGCATCTTAAAACACAGTTGCATGTTACACTGAACAAACGGTAGCAAGCAAATACTCTAAGTGAATATGGAGCAGGCAACTTTTCAGAGGCTCTTAACCTGCTGGAGAGCCCAGATAATTAACTGGAATGGGAACAGCTCAAGGACTGTTCACATTCTTCTGCTTGCTGAGGAATTCAAAACAAAATATTTGTATAAGAAAAGCTCTCAGGGCAATTCTTTAAGTAGTGTGCAACTTCTCCAACTTCTGAGGTGAGGGCAGGAGATGGAAAGCTGTCCTGAAGAACAACACAAGATGCTCAGCAGCAAAGAGCAATGCTCAAGCAGGTGCCTAGAGGAGAATAGGCATGCAACCATACTCCTTCCTCTGTCTATGACTACTATTTACCATTGCCTAAGCCAAAAACAAACTCCAGGGCAGCCTGCAGAATGGTTAAAGTTACAGAACAGTTAAGAATGTCCTAATTTGGGGGGGGGGGGGGGCACATCAGATATCAATACCATTTTAACCAGGGCCAGATAATAAAAAAGCCCTACGGCACTTATACTAATTTGCCCCCAAAATTTTATCAGTTAAACTGACAGAGGCAAGATTATGATTACTAAACTAACAATGATTTGATATGAGGGACAAAATAAAGGTCATTATATTGCCCTGCACGATTCGGCAATTTTCAAATGGTCCATTAAAAATGTTTTGCTTATGCTTCACTTATGGAAAAATTAATAAATCTAATTATTATGGAAAATGTTAATCTGACAGTCACATTCCAGTACCATCATCTGATTTCGATTGAAATGTTCTCCAAAATGTCCTCCAACAGGCAAAAACCATTTTAATGGTCCATCATTGCCAATGCATTTAATTCATGGGGCAAATACACATTTCACCAATGCCTGTAATAATCCATCTTTTATGTTTTATTCACTCTAGGAGGTCAGGCCTAGAAGCCATTTTCTTTTCATGCATTATTTAAGAAAGCACTCTCAACACTGGTGTATTAGGTTACTACACCACTCAAAATCAATGGTTGCCTGACCTTCCTCTGGTCTGAAAAACTCAGACTCAAGAAATAATGAGAGCTTTCTGCAGTACGCCTACATCTTACACAGAAAATGCTATGCTAATTGTTCTCTATTCATTGCACACTTACATGAATACACATTTTCCCCAATAGTACATGTGACCTAGCTGTTCTGTTATGCTTGGCAAACAAATTTTAAAAATAAGTAAACTAACTGGCGTGAATTCCAAAGAAAGTATCCTTTTTCTAACATAGTGTATAATAAAATAAGCCAGGCTTGTGTAGTTGTCAAATTTTGGTTGGCAATGACAGCCAATTTAATGCATTGGTGATCAAATTAAGTTTCGTAACAGATGCCCTCTTCCCTTTGAGAAAATAAATGGCACCACTGAACAAAAAGTGAAAGACCATACTAGTATCTGGCTTCTGACAGGAAAGAGAAGGCTCTTAACTGTTATACAGCTTTTGACTCTTCTTCACAATCTAGTACACAGGGTATATTTCTTACTGTTTTTGAATATTGTCAGCAAATTTATGTGAATAGAGAGGTAGCCACTGTGCATTAGGAATGGAAGAAATTCAAAAGCTGTAAAATATCCCGTCTGATTTCCAACTTAAAAGTGAAGAATTTGTATCAAAATCAAACAGTCGTGAGCCTAGGGAATGATAGCTTCATTATTGAATACGTCACCAAACTGGTTGTGACAAGTTCAGCCTCTTGCCTGAATAGGATGCATCATATGGTTTAATTAGTTATTTTGTCTGTCTGGCCCCACCATTTTTCTTTTGGCTCTAGCCTGCTGCCTCTATCAAAAGGCAAAACTTGAGAAAAGCAGCAACAAGCACTGTCCTAGCAGATTTCGCAACAAGACTAGCACTGCAGGCGAATAAAAGAACCAATTCTACAACAAGTGGCTTTTAAACAGAACAGGGTTGTTTTAAGAGGAGGGTGAGGGGGTCACATACCCTGGTTAGATCCATTCCAAGTTTAAGTTGTGAGATGAGATGAAGAATTATGCTACGCTGATCTTCCTTGACTCCTAAATCATCCTCTTCATTATCTTCAGTATCTGTCACCTCATCCTCAACCAGGATCAATTCACGAGTGGAGCGCTAGCCAACCAAAAAAGAAGAAGAAAAAAAGAAAAAGAAAAAGGAGGGATAATCAGTAACACCATCTGGACACACATGGAACAATATGCCATAAATTCATTTAAGCTTAATTACAGAATGCTCCAAAAACACTAGGAAGATTATTTCTGAAACTCAGTGTTGCTAGCAGACTAGAACAATCACCACTGCTAGGTTATAAACAATAATGAGTTTCTTGGTAATGAAAATTGAGGCAAAGTATAAAGGAAGTCTTAAGAATGAATACAAGCATTTTCTATAAACACACACTACACACGTCTAACACAACATAAATCAACCAATAATCATATGGGGGAGGGTGACAAATACAGAATTCACTCTTTAAAATATTAAAAGCTGATTTTCTATACAAGTGAGAATAAATTATTCATTCTCTACTTTTAAAACATATCTTTGCCAAGAATATGGTTCAACTGCACTATTTTGACTTTTTTTGAGTTAGACAAATTGACAACACTGCATAACTGTTCAATGTTCAGAGATATGAGTTGGTGTTACAGAAACCAAATCCTAGGCATATTCTTTTAAAAAAGAGAGAATCATAACTTACCTCATCAGAAAGCAATAAAAACTTAGTTATCTAGAATTAATTGCATTTATTTTAATAAATGTGACTTCTCATCCTTTGGTCAGAACCATCATGCAAAAGTTTTCAAAGCATGAATTATCTGAGTTGCCAACATTGGTCGGACTCAAGAGAGCCAGGCTGCACTTCTCCCTAAAATATTACAAATCTGACCTTTGCATTTTTTGAAGGTATGGCACTACCAAAAAACAAAAAAATTGTTTCAATTATTTTATTTGATAAAACACAGTAGTAGTTTCATAGTAATACCTGCTGTTCTGAAATGAACCAAGAAATAATATGAATTACAGAATTAATGGCAATAATTAACACTGTGTCTGGCAGGAAGGAAGGAAAGCAGCAGAAGAAACTAAGTATATTTGCAGATTCTTCCATTTCACAAGGAAGTGAACACTTTTTTCTCTCTCCAAAACACTTTGTTCAAGTTCAAACATATCAAAAATATGGAGGTCTCTTCCATCTACATTCTACACAGTTGGGCATTCATTATATAAGCATGCTGTATTCACATCTACAAATTCTGACTTAAGGGAAGGTTACTTCAAAACTTCCTTGTAGTTCAAATAAATATTGTTTTAGGTAGCCCTAGTGTCCCACCAGAAGGGTACTTCCAGAGTTGCAAAGCTTCCTGATGGACAAATTAGCCACAACAAGAGAATCCTGCAGTGGCCCTGAACTACCATTTTTCTCTCAGTCATATAACATGCGGGAAAACATTTCTGCATGTCTTACCATGGCTTGCTTTGCTTTAATGTTCAGATAAAAATCAGCTCCAGCTTTAATGCTACATAAAAATGAAACCTGTACACCATCAAATTCCAAAACCTTAAGCAGCAGTAAAATATTCTGCAGAGTACAAAGCTTAATCTGAAGAGAGGGAACAAGGGAGCAAGAACTTATCAGTCATAGCTTCAGAACTTACAGGCGATGGTTCTACAGCAGGCTTGCTTATCATCCAGCTCGACCTCATTGAGCGTCCTGAACTACGCAAGGGCACTGCTGTTTTCTGTTGCTGCTGCTACAGCTAACTCCTTTAACAGCAAGCAAGCTGGAGCCAGGAATTACTAGTACCAGAAAGAATCAAGAGAAACTTCCTCTCTGCTTTGCCCCCACCTCCTTTTTAATTTCCAGTGAATGTGAAAAGCATGATGTCAATTCAGCATGAACCGCTGCCTACAGCCCAGTCACATGACACTGGATCAGTGAGCTTAAGCACAAATCACTCGCAACTGGAGAAGTGCTGCCGCTCTCATTGGTCCCCTTCCCAAAACACACACAAGCTAACATCAGAAAGAGCATCTTGTTCAGCGCTAAGAACGGGTGGCGGGGGGGGGGGGGAGAGATATCAGTTGTCACATGTTTCAAATCTCTATCCAACTATGCAGAACTGTAAAATGGTTTAACATCTGCGTTTTCAAGTACTACCATTCCTGGGTAATAGGACGAAGCTTGCATCTTTACTGGAAACTCTTTAGAAACAAAAAAGGACTGCAAATGTGCCCACACATATACCCTAAAGCTTTATTTTAATGGAATTCGCCTTACTAACATTGGAGGATCACTTCCAAGGTTATCTTTTCCTCAAATAGCGACTGGATAGGCACAATATTGCAATTCATTCTAGATAACTAATCAAGGCAAGTTGTTCTTGTCATCCTAACCCAGAAACATTTCTTGGTTATCTTGATAAATGGGGATGGCAAACATGTGAGCAACTGAAATTCTAGGGTTTTTTCCTGTCCTTTGTAGGTTTTTTCAGACCACAACTTATGGCTACCTGAAATGTAGAGTCTCATCTGGCCAGCATCCCAGAAACTGCCATCAAAGTACAGCGATGCAGTTTTTGTGAAAAGTTTATTTCCCCCTTAGCAGTGTTATCATGTTTTCCAACTTTTCTTTTCCACACTTTCCCAAGCCTCCAGGCTCCAGAAAGGGAAGATCCATATCCCACTACTTTTGGGGGGCAGTTTCTCTTGACAGCTGTCAAAAACAGGTTCTTAAAAAAGCCCCTCTGATATAATAGAGCATGGGGAGGGGTGAACAGGGAAATATACAGCCACAAAATCTGTGTCGTGTGCAAAACAACCTATATGCAGCCTTGCTTTGGTCAATCTCCATGGAGGCTGGGCAAAATTCCACATTTGGATAACTGCACATACACATTTAAACAACAGGGAAGTATAAGCTGAAAGAGCAGGATGGCAGCTCAAGATTAATAGGCAAATGGTCAAGGATCTTCTAATTGGGTTGAATGAGTTCAAATCTGCAGGGCCTGAACTCCATCCTAAAGTCATATGGAAGCTGGTGGAGAAACTCTCAAAATCACTGTCTATTATCTTTAAGAAATCATGGATGACAGGAGAGGTGCCAGATGACTGGAGAAGGACTAATGTTGCCCCCATCTTCAAGAAATGGAATTCTTGGGAATTACAGACCAGTCAGTCTGACATCAAACCCTGGAGAAATTCTGGAGCAGAGTAGAAAGCAATCAGTCTGCAAACACCTTGAAAATAATACAATGATTATTAGAAACTAACATGGATTTGTCAAGAATGAATCCTGCCAGACTAATCTCATTTTGATTGGGTAACTTCCCTGATTGACTGTGGGAATGTTGTGAACATAATATATCCTGATTTCAGCAAAGCCTTTGACAAAGCACCCCATTATATCCCGATTAGCAAGCTAGCAAAAAGTGGCTTGATGGAACAATGATCAGGTAGATCCACAGTTGGTGACAGAATCTGATTCAAAGAGTGCTCACCAATGGCAGCTCCTCAAATTGGGGAGCGGTAACAAGTGGGTTACTGCAGGGTTCAGTCCTGGGTCCAGTGTTCCTCAACATTTTTATTAATGATTTGAATGAGAAAGTGCAGGGAACAATTACCAGATCTGCAGACAACACAAAACTGGGTTGGATAGCTAATACCCTGGAAGACAGAAGTAAGATTCAAGGTGATCTTGATAGGGCAGAGTGCTGGGCTGAAAACAACAGAATGAAATTCAGCAGGGACAAACACCAAGTTCTGCAGCTAGGAAAAGGAAACCAAATGCATTGTTACAAGTTATGTCTCAACAGTACTGCAAGTGAGAAGGATCTTCAAATTGTTGTAGCTCACAAGCTGAACAACGTGATGTGCCTGCAAAAGAGACAAATGCTATTGTGGGCTGCATTAATAGAAGTCTCACTTTGAAATGATGTGAAGTACTAGTTCCCCTCTATTCAGTACTGGTTAGGTTCCATCTTGGGTATTGTGCCAGCTTAAGAAAGATGCAGACAAGCTGGAAAGCGTTCAGAGGAGGGCAACAAGGATGATCCAGGGACTGGAAATAAAGTCCTATGAGGAGAGATTGGAAGAGAACTGTGCATGTTTAGTCTCGAGAAGAGAAGACTGAGGGGAGATAGGATAACACTCTACAAGTACTTGAAACGCTTTCATACAGAGGAGGGCCAGGATAGGTTCTCAATCATCCCAGAGTACAGGACACAGAATAACAGACTCAATGTACAGGAAGCCAGATTGGGAAAAATGTCCAGCCTGTTAGAGCAGTATGACAATGGAACCAATTACCTAGGAAGATTTTGGGTTCTCCCACACTAACGGCATTGAAGATGCAACTGGACAGCCATTTAACCTGGAGTCCTGCACTGGGAGTTGGTCCCAATGGCCCCCAGCCACTCTGAACTCCACTATTCTATGACTCGATGAATGAGCCAGTGTGTGTTGCTGCAAAGTGCCACTTGGCATCAGTGGTGGTGCTGCAGGACTTGGGAGAAAATAGTGAATGAAAATCAGACCATAATCAGAGCTGGGACAGAGAGACTAGATTCTGCTGCACAGGGTCCTGGGATGCTAGCTGGAAGAAGGAAGGAGAGAACAATTAACAGTAAGTGTGATCATCTGTCAGGCACACCATGGGTCATTCCACAAAAATTGCACATTGCTTATTTGTAGGCTGGGTAGCTATGTTATGCAAACACACCCACAATGACCTGAGTTATTATCCTGGTTTATTCCAATATGGCTTCACATGAGATCTGAACCCAGCATGGTTTCCTCAGAATGGTTTGTTAGACACACAAAAGCACTCTGAGAACTCATCAGTTCTTGTTGGGTTGTTTAGGGTAGTTTGTTTTCAGAGTGACTTTTCATATGTGAACCTGACTGACTGGCCAGTGCATGTTTCACTGGAACAGGCTACAGAGCCTCCTGGCAGGAGTGGCAAAAAATTCCAGTCCTGGCCCCTCCTCACAAATGTGTTAGTACCACTTCTTTCTTACTTCTTGTTTACTATCTGCATCCCTAGATATCAGCATTATTTCTCCACCTTCAAAGAAATAGACACATACTTAACTTTTTTAATGTTTAAAGGT